CATTAGCACCGCTGGGAGAGCTAATAAGGAATCCAGAGGCCCAGGCTTGTTGAAATTGGAAAGGGCATGGTCCTCTGTATTTCTGCCCTGTCCTCCAGGTGAGGAGGATACATACCCAGGTTTAAGAACTATAGTTTTTGTTTTTAATATTTGATTTATTTATCTTTAGAATGGAAGGGAAAGGGGAGAGGGAGAGAAATATCAATGTATGGCTGCCTCTCGTTTGTCCCCTGCTGGGAACTGGCCTGCAACTCAGGCATGTGCCCTGACTGGGAATTGAACCGCGATCCTTTGGTTTGCACGCCAGCGCTCAATCCACTGAGCTACATCAGCCAAGGCTAAGCACTACAGTTTTGCAAGTATGTGATTGATGCCTCTTCTCTTTTGCTGCAGTTACTTAGGTTTCCTACAAGCAGAGTTGTAGAATAGCACTTAGTGCTCTATGGAACCATATAGGCAGTGAATGAAGCAAACCTCTGGTCAAAGCCCAGTCTCCCCAGTCTTGAGTAGTTTAATGAATTGCAGTTTTTGCTCGTGAAGAATATATCCTCAATGAACTCAGAGGTGGCAGAGTGTGGTGCTGAAGTGGTTAAGGCAGGAGCGACACCTTCCATCCTTCTGGGCTCCCCTGCATCCGAAAACCTGATAGAAATGGTTTTGATTTAAAAAATCAATGTAGATTAAAAAATTAAGAGGAATATCATTTCTGATAGGCTGAAAAGTCCAGGGTTAACTTGCTCCGGGCATGGCTGGTTTGGGGGCTCAAATTGTATCACGGGGAATTTGTATCATCGGGCTCTCCTTTGGCTCTGCCTGGCTTTGTGTGGACTTTTGTCTCAGCCTCAAGTGACAGCAGCAGCTCCAACGCTCACAGTTCTGTCAGGTTTCAGGATCAGTGGGTAAAAATAAAAGTCATATTCCCAGAAGTCCCGGGAGTATCCCTCACTATCCCTGACTGGGTTACATAACCACTGTGAACCAATCACAGGGAAATGAAGTGGACTAATGGGCACAGCCCTGCGTCACATGACTACTGTAAATCTCAGGGAAAATTGCACTGGGTTGGTAAACATAGCTCTGGGTCACACAACCATCCTGCACCAATCACAGGGAAATGCCCTGGACTGATGGGCTTAGCCCTCAGTCACCTGTGTGGCGGATGAGGATGGGCCTGTGCAGAGCATGGGGTTGGTTTTATAGAAATCACAACTCATTAAGAGTGGAAAAGAGTGACTTTAAAGAGGAAATCAGGACACATTTACTAGACAGAGTACATGAATGCCAGGCAGCAAAATCAACAGATGGCTGCTACAGTTGGACTATTGTCGTTTAATTCTAGCTGTGCTGGGAAAAAGCCAATAAGAACAAATTCAGCAAATCGCAGACTTGCACTGAAGAGCACAAACACAAGAATCCAAGGAGCTCAGCCTTTTTTCACCAACTAAAACATAGTTTATACTATTGAAGACAGATGCTTATTTATTCTATTCTGAGAGCTCTCCAGTCGAAAGTATTCCAAATATCCTTCCATCTGCAGATCATTCTAGGGCTTTGCAATTTTTACTAGTTTATGAGAAAATTGGAGGAGGGGCAATTTAAAATGAATAAATATGCTTGGAGGAAAGCTAAAGGGCTGAGTTATTTCACCATTCTGGAATTCAGAGCAATAAAAAAGTAAACAGTCTTACTGGCTCAAAGGAGAATCCTTTCAACTATGAAACAACTTTATTTGGGTTATTTTGGCATCTCAAGAGACTTTCTCTGCAGTTGTATTATAAAATAGGTCCTCCTGTTTTTATTGTATACTGTCTTGTTGGGACTTATGAAATGCGAAATTATTTGCTCCATTTAGTTGCTGTGTGATGGGGGCCTTTTAAAAATCATTTATGTGTCTTTTGGTATAGCATTAATTCACATCCTTTTCACAAATGTAATTTTGAAAGCAATTTTTATTAAAACTTCTTATAACACATAAATGTGAGATAATTGAGCTGAAGGCTTATTTACCCAAATTGCCCATCAGAGTGCTATTTCATGGATTTTAAAAGCAGGACAAATTTTTGAAACTGTTCCCTGATGATGAACATTTTAAGATGATTTTTGATCTCTAGGAAAAATATTTACTCTCAAACAGGTGAAATCAATTCCCTTATGAGTGGATGATGGTGGTGATTTAAGGAAACTAATCTTTACAAATTAAAAAGAACATTTGTTTTCAAACCTTATAACCAGCCTTGAGAGACAGTGGATTCTTGTCACCAGCAACGGGATATGGCCCAGGAACTGCAAACTTAGAGCGAACTGGGGAGTGCTCCTCTGCTGGATAACATCAGTGTTTGAGTTCCATTGCTCCACTATAGCTTCACAGTAGCTTCAGGTATCATTCATGAAACCATAACAGTATGGTTCGTTATAGTCCAGATTACCTTTGATCAGACTGATCTGTTAGGTGGAACCAAATATGCACAGAAAGTGTGCTGCTTAGGAAAGAAGCTGAGAAGGCAATTGCCTGCAGTACAATTCAGAGGATGCCAGAAGGGATTCTGCCTGAAGATTAAGGTTCCACAGAAATAGCCCCATAACAGGCACTCAACAAATATTTACTCAATGAAAGAAAAAATAAATGAAGAAATCAGCATAAAACCATCTTGCAGACAAACTACAAAAGTACCATGTAGACATTCCTCTTGATTTATCTCCCTCACTCCTAGCTGGGTCTGCTTATGTATTAATGCTACAGCAGTGACAATTGTCTCTAAAGAATATCATACCAGGACTCAGAGAATATGCTTACCCATGTCCCCAGAGATAAAAACGATTATGTGGCACCAGGTCTGTCTTGTCTGGCCCACAACCCCAGCACGATCCTTGCTGGTTAGTGTTGCTCCTTTTACTTCTGCTTGGCCCCAGCTAGGTTCTTGCCATCTCCTTCCATATGCTCATTAACTACTGCAAGTGCTTCCACAAGATCCACAAGGACCTGCTGGTGACCTGTGCACCCACCTCAAGATCAGATTCTGCTGCCAGATTCTATACTACAAGGAGGTTGCAACCAAGGGGAAATTTGCCTTTACCACTGAGGATTATAACATGGAAGTGTGCTTTGAGAGCAAGGGAACAGGACATATAGCTGATGAACTCGTTACACTAGGCATGAAGCATGGAGTGGAAGCAAAAATTATGAAGTGATCACAAAAGTTGAGAAGTTCAAGCATTTAGAGGCAGAGGTATGACACATAGAGACCTTTCAGAGTCTATCATTAATGATTTTGCCTATGTCAAAAAGCCAGAGAAGAAGATGCATGATACCAATGGGTCAACAGTTGGGTCCTGTACTTCAGCATCTTTTCAATGTTCTGTCTCATTGGACTAGCCACTTGGAAGGCCTTGTTTTACCTTCATTGCTCTTTCAAGGGCAAGAAGTTGACTGAGTAATAAGACCTACTCTTCACCGCCTTTCCCCACCTTCTATTCCAGCCAGCAGAACATCACTGGGAGGTGCCTGGCCGACTAACAGCACCATCAAGGCCCATTGGGATAGAACTGATTCCAGAACTGATTTCTCTTGGTGTGGGAGGACATGGGTTACCTACTACCTACACCCAGCAAGTCAATGAGGGAATTCTTTTTTAACTTGATAAAAGTTGGACTGGTTTTGCTATGATAGCACTGTTATCAGAGTCACCTATGATGAAAAATAAGGGTTACTTAGATAATGCTGGAGCCAGCATCTGGACTGGGTTTTCTCGTGTGGTCTGGCAAAACCATGTTTTCTTTCCTTCTCTCACTTGATCACCGGCTTGGGCTTCCCCTCTATTCCTTTTCTGGGGTTTATGTGGCCATGGGGCACTTGTTTCACTCAGATTGCCCTCTTTGGATTTCTGCATGAAAACATCATTAGCTTTATCTTAACCCTCAGCTGAAAATTTTCAGTAGCTTCTGGTGGTATCTTTTCATAATTTTATGTCTCTTAAAAGAGTGATGGATGTAACACCTCATAGAAATGAGCTTTGAACTATAGATAGCTCTTTAAAGAAAGTTTTGTTTTAGAGAATTAAAATATTTGTGCTCAACTGCTTGAATTTTTGGGTGGGGGGTATTTATGTTTATTTAGTTCTATGCAATTTTCTTACATGTGTAGACTCATGAGATGACCACCGCAAAATGCAGAACAGTTCCATCACACAGGTCCCTTGGTCTTCCCTTTTATAGCCACAGCCACCTGCCTTCTTTGCTCCCAAACCTCGACCTCTAGCAACCACTAATTTGTCCTCTGTCTAATTTTGTTATTCCAAGACCGTTGCATAAATGGAACCATATAGTATGTAACCTTTTGAGATCAACTCTTTTCACTCAGCGTAATGCCCTTGGAATCCATCCAAGTTGTTGCATGCATCAATAGTTTGTTCCTCTTTATTGCTCAGCAGCGTTTCCTGGTGTGGGTGTGCCACAGGTTGCTTAACCATTCACCCACTGAAGGATACTGGGGCCATTTTCAGTTTTTGGCTGTTACTAATAAAGCTGCTGTGAATATTAAAAAAAAATAATTGTGAACAATGATAGCATTTTCAAAAGTACATGAAATTGGGTCTTTGAGTTATAAGAACTAAAACATCATTCTCTTGTGTTGTGCCACACTGGCAGAAATGCTGCCCCTCGTATGTCTAAGTAGTTGCTGCTCCCCGATGTATTAGTCAGAAAGGCCCTTCAGTTGTATTACTCAGGGGCAGCATTTATAGACAGAACCATTTAGGGGGCACCCTGTAGTTTGTAATGCAGAGGCCCCATATTTATCTACCCAACATCTATAGTTGCACTGTTGCTTCTCCAAAATCTCAGTTTTTATAAGGGCTTGGTATAATGTTTCCAGAGCTTGATCTCATATTAATTACATTTGCAAAAGTGTTGCTTGTAATGAATGCATTATTTTGACTTTCTCCTTGTTTTTGTTTTTTGTTTGTTTGTGTGTTTGGTTTGTGGGGCTGGAACTCAGGGAGGAGAGGAATCCCAAGAAGAACCTAGATGCCTCCAGTTGGAAGAAAAGGCAACATCAGGTAGAGCACATTCTGTGTGATGCACCCTCCCTGCATTGCTTTTGCTGACTGCAGGGCTCACAGTTTTCAGATTGCAACAGAAAATCTGTGTGTTCCACACGATTGGAAACATGACTAGAAATGTCACTTGTGATGTATTCCAAGCACGACATCTGGACAATCTGGTCATGCTGTAGAAAATAGCTTCTTCTCTCCTTCTTTCTTTTATTGATTACTGTTTTTGATGAATACTTGCAATGAAGTACATGATAATAATGATGAAGAAACTTCAAATCAGTAATACTAACATAAGTAGCATACTTATTCACTAAAATGTTTATGCTTATCTTGGAAAATGTTATTAGATGCATTTGCTAGTTTTTTAAAATGTTTCTGTATGTAGTTCAATGTGCAGCTTTGCTAAAGATATTTATCACATAATAGAACTTCCTATGTGGTAATATGGAAAGGAACAAATGATGAGCAATTCATAATTTAGTTTCTGACTATCATCAGTACTGATAATGAGATGTAATGATAAAATAAACATTAGTTGGATGGACCTAATAGGAATAAAAGCTAAATCTTAATACTGCCCACTTCTATTTATCAATGGTTTTTTGTTTGGTGTTTTACATGATTAGAGGTTAGAAGAGGGCTCCAGATGTGTTTGCTGCTGGCAGAGGCTCATGTTCTTACAATTAAATAGAAATCAGGGAGCAGAATTAAGAAAATGGAAATGGTAATGAAAAGAACATGTGGAATGGAGGGGAAAGATGGTGCCTTGCTCTGATATAGATGGAGGAGAAAGAATCGGCAATTAACCAGCTTAGTCATCTCCCTCAGATGCCTCCCAGTGTCTACCCCCACCAATAACAAAAATTGCTTTAGTTAGTGCCTCTGTCTAGGACATTCTCCCTTGTAGATCCTTGTGTGACTGGCTCACTCTCATCAATCAGGTCTCAGCTGGAAGGTTCAGTGCCCTAGTCACCTTATCATTCCTCCCAATCACTCTTCATCCCATTGCCCATTTTTATTATTTTTTTCATAATACCTGTTATGATCCAAAATAATCTCTATGTTGTTTGGTTTATCTACTTAATGTCCTCTAGAGAGTAAGAGTTTACCTACTTTTTAAAATAAAAGATCTTTTTTTTTTTTTTTTGGAGAGAGGGGAAGGGAGGGAGATAGAGAGGGAGAGAAATATCCTTTTGAGAGAGGAACATTGATTCGTTGCCTCTTACATATGCCCCATTCGAGGGCTGAACCTGAAACCTAGGCATGTTCCCTGACTGGAAATTGAACTGGCAACCCAGTTCACCCAACCACCTGAGCCACACCAATCAGGGCTCACCTACTTGTTTAATGGTATCCCTCGCATGCTGGACAGTGCCTGGCACATAGTAATCAGTCACTAAATTCTTACTGAGGCCCTCATGTCTGCTATGTGAGAGGCATTCTTTTTTCCCTGTATGGGATATGCAGATGGGGTGGGCTTGATGTGAGCCAACTCCGTACCTATTTTGGATTTCTGGCATATAAAAGAGAATAAGACATGATTCTTGACCTCTAGGAAACCATGTCTAAGAGACAGATGAAGTTAGCACATGAAAAATAGCTTTGAAAGGTTGACCCAATTAAAACGTTACTGGAAGCACTGAGGAAGGGGCAAATACAGTTGTATTGGGGAAGGAGTGTCTAAGAAATCCCCCAGGGTTACATTTGCAAAAGTGTTCATGGACCAAATTTTGGAGTTCGAAGGCAGGTATTGGGGAGCAGAGTTGGAGTTTGCTGTTATAGCCCTGAAAACTGTCCTGAGTGCCCCTTTTTGCACACTTATCACTGATCTTTAGTTCCCCAGCTAGAAAGGAAAGCTGGAGTGATGGCCAGTGCTGGCGCAATGCAGGTGGGCCAACCAAGAGACTTTGTTTCTCAGCTGCTGTTATAAGCGATATCTTTTGCTTTCTTGGCATAGTGTCCACTGTATGGACACAAATGTCCACGGAGGACATTTGTCCACATCCAGAGCATTGATCACTCTATGTGTTGTGTAGGGACCACTACTCATCAAGGCTTTTCTAAGACTAGTTGATTCCAGTGAGTTCTATTGTGACATGTCAGGGTGAGAAATCAGAGATTCCAGCTTCACAAACCTGCTAGTTCCTAGGTCATTAATAGCATCAGCATACTTTACTAGAAATCTAGTGTAGGGATAAAGATTTCCCTCAGCTCATACATGTAGAGTCAGAGATCTCCACAGAACATCATCCCGCAGAACAGGAGGGACACGGTTTAGTTAGAAATCTATAATCCTAGTTTCTTTGTGACCAGATTAGATGGTTTTTAGATTTTGGATTTTAAATAAGTGGATCATTTCCCTGTTTTCTTAAAAATAGAAAAACACCTAATAACCTTATACTCTAACTAGAATTTCAAGCAGAAAATGCAATGTTTCTCACTCTTTCCTAAAAAGTACTTGTGTCCACTGACTTGGGGGCTTGCTGCAGAGCCCTTCTTCTTTATACAGGATTTACTCCAAATGTGTGTTTTTATAATGTGGCCTTACTGGGCTGTGTCTCAGGTCTCAGTCCATTCAATTCAAATCCACTGTACTTAGCCATTATTCGAAATCCCGTTTGGTATAACTTGTGTCTGCTAGGTTATTTGAAAAGTGTGAACATATAACACATTGACTCAGAAATGTTTACTGGGTGTCTACTAAATGCTACACACTGTGCTGGGAACTGTGCAATGTCTAGAGTGGTAAATAGGACAGACACGACTCCGTGCTTCATGGAACTTATGGGAAAATGAGAAATGCAGCCATTACACATATATAAAAGAAAATGTAAATTAGAGAGAAATTGTAGCCTTTAAACAGATAAATTGTAGGTCACAGATAAGGCAGGTGGCTGTGCGAATCTTGCCATCACAGAGCTTGCAGTGAAATAGGGCCAATAAAACATGGACACAGAAAGGTAGGATACAGTACAGGTTAAAAGAAAGATGGGGGGTGGGAGTGCCAAAGAGGTGGGAGAAATTACATTTGGGGGGTCCAGGAAGTTCTCTGAGAAATTGCGGCATGAGCTGACTTTTGAAGGATAAATATGAAAATCATTTGTGAAAGGAGACCCATTAAGCTGGGTATTTATAAAGTGAAAATCGAGTATTGTTACTCATAGGTATATGAAGTGGTACCTATTTGGAATTCCACCCATTTTTTTGTTGGTGACTTAATCCTAAGGCATCTGTCACTTTATCCTGAGGTCTATAATTTACACCTGCAGGGCCTGCCCAGAGGATAATGACAGGTCAATTAGGAGTGCATTCAACTTTGCCACCCTCATTACCTGTTTTTTTTTCTCTCCAATAATTCAGTGTCTATGTATATGTGAGGGTTGTTTTTTATTTTTATTTTTTTTGGTAAGTGGCCTGCCTGTAATAGATAGAAGCCTAATGCCTACTCAGAAGCAGATGGTAATTGTTCTTGACTTCATGGACATATTAACTGAGTGGACAGGGTAACCCATTTATAATAAGTCCTTCTTACTATGATGCCATGTGGGTTGCCGTCAGCTGCTGCTCCATCCCTGCAAGATCAGTGCGGGGTAGCTTCAGCAGACGGATGAAGTGTACCTTTGCCTCCAGCCTGCCCTCTTGGTGCCCTGCTTCTCCTCAGTGGAATTCCCTCCTCACTACTCTGGTCCCCAGTTGTTCTCCATCAAAGGGACATGCAATCAGCACATGTTAATTAATACCACTGTGTTGCCTGTTCTTCAGCCTATTGGCATTTTAAGTTGTAAATCTGCCTACAGAATGGGAAAATTTGGTAGCTGCTAAAGGGATCTGAAACATCAGCAAACAGGTAAAGAAGGTAGAGTGGGGGCAGGTCTGGCTACAATCACAACGCATGGTTAGCCACTTTCTTGACCTGAACCTAGCAAGGCCCTGAATCATGGGGACAGTCAGTGAGGTTCCCATCAGACTGTGCGTTTCTAAGGACCTGTGTCTGTTTGCAGGTGACCTCATATCCTTTACCAAAAGGTGGTATTTTAAAGATGCAGTGCATCTGGTGTAACATTCAATGCAAAAATAAAGAAATGGATTAAAAACTGAACCTGGGCTATGCATGAGGTAAAGGAAGAATGAGGTAATAGATCCATGAAAAATGGTGATGTGAGTGGAGGTATTGCAGAAGAAAGATGTCCATGCTCCAGAGTTCCTTTGATGTAACCATGATGTTGTTTGTATAATAGAGAAAAAGCAAAGACACTTTACTAATAGTTACAAGGCAGAGATTATAATTCCAAACAGAGAGAGCAGTATGTAAGTGAGAAGGCACGATTTGGAGCCTGTTACCATAACCCTCTGAGGATAACCCAGTTCTTAGAAGCAGCTGAGGACAGAGGAAGAAACTAGTTTACATGCTCTTGTGTGGGTTTATGCCTGATTTTTCAGTTACTGCTGTGTCAAAGTGGTAAGACTTTCTGGTCCTTATGTCTCCTGTCCCCATTTCCTCTTTGGTTTTTCTTTTCACAGGTAGTCAGCCTCTCTGTCTTTTTTGCCTTTCCATGGAATGTGTTCCTTTTCCAGACTCTACTGTGGTTGCTCTGAAGTTTTATGCTTCTATGGTTAGAGAAGTTTTATGATGAGTCTTCATTGAATTTCTTTCTATTCCACTGAAAGACCCTTGGAACAAACATACATACATACAACGGCTTATAAAACCATCACATCAAATAAGATTAAAATGGAACATTCTTTCTTAGTACAGAAACTCAGGTTTATAGATCACATAAAGAAACTACAGATCTTGTCTTTACCAGTCTTATTTGTAGCCAAGTGAGTGGAAATGTCGTACCAATTTTCCAGGGAGAAAGGGGATAAGCGACCTTTCAGAGGTGTCACAGCGTATCTTAATTTGTTCATTTATTCCCTTGCAGAAAGAAAAACCGATGAATGGGCCAGTTACGCTTTCTGGAGAAAATTCTTTTAAAAAAATGAATTGTGCTTTTTATGGT